GTTTTTAAAGTACGCTTGTATGATTTTATGAATTTCCTTGGTGTCTGTTGTTATGACCTCCTTTCCTTTTCCAATTTTGTTAATTTGGATTCTCATTCTCTCTCTCTCTCTCTCTCTCTGTCTCTCTCTCTCTCTCTGTCTCTCTCTCTCTCTCTTTCTCTCTCTCTCTCTCTCTCTCTCTCTGTCTCTCTCTCTCTCTTTCTCTCTCTCTCTCTCTGTCTCTCTCTCTGTCTCTCTCTCTCTGTCTCTCTCTCTCTCTCCTTTTAGTTAAATTGGATAAAGGTTTGTCGATCTTATTGACTCAATGAACCAACTGTTTGTTTTATTGATTCTCTATATTGTTTTCTTTGCTTCTGTTTTATTAGTTTCAGCCACCTACTCCTTTTGGTTGTGATTTCTTTTGCTCTAGAGCAGCACTTCTAAACCTTCCTAATGTTGCTACCCTTTAATACAGTTCATGTTGTAGGGACCCCCAACCCTAAAATTATATTGTTCCTACTTTATAAACTGCAATCGTGCTGTCATGACTCATAATATAAATATCTGATATGCAGGATAGTGACACACAGATTGAGAACCACTCTTCTTTAGCTTTCAGGTGTACTATTAAGTTACTAGTATTAGACCTCTCCAGTTTTTTGTTTGTTTACTCTAGGTACTTAGGGCTATGAACTTTCTTCTTAGAACTACTTTTATCATGTCCTTTAAGTTTGGGTACGATGTGTATTCATTTTCATTCAAATCAAGAAAGTCTTTAATTTCTTTATTTCTGTCTTGATCCATTTTTCATCCAGTAGAGAATTGTTCAGTTTCCATGAGTTTGTAAGCTTTCTATTGTTTCTGTTATTGATGCCCAGCTTTAATCTATAATGGTCTGATAGGATACAGGGAGTTATTTCCATTTTCTTGTGTTTGTTGAGACTTTTTTTTGTGTCCAAATATGTAGTTGATTTTGGAGAAAGTTCCATGAGGTGCAGAAAAGAAGGTATATTTTTTTGTGTTTGGATATAATGTTCTGTAAATATCTGTTAGGTCCATTTTGTCTATAATATCTTTTAGCTCCAGCATTTCTCTGTTTAGTTTTTGTGTAGATGGCCTATCTATTGGTGAGAGTGTGGTACTAAAATTTCCCACAGTTAGTATGTGAGGATCAATATGTGATTTGTGCTGTAGTAGTGTTTCTTTTACAAAAGTAGGTGCCCTTTGTGTTAAGAATTGAAATGTCATCTTGGTGGATTTTTTTTTCTTTGATGAATACAAAGTATCCTTCCCAATCTCTTTTGATTAGTTTTGGTTTAAAGTCTATTTTGTTAGATATTAAAATGGCTGCACAAGCTGTTTCTTAGGTCCATTGGCTTGGAATATCCTTTCCCAATCCTTTACTCTTATACCTGTCTTTGACTTTGAGGTATTTTTCTTAGGTGCAGTAAAAGAATGGGTCCTGTTTTCCCATTCATTCTGTTAGTCTGTATCTTTTTATTGGGGGAATTAAGATTCTTGATATTGAGGGATATCAGTGACCAATGATTGTTGATTCCTATTCTTTAGTTGTTGTTGTTGGTAATGGTGGTGGTCTTGAGTGTGTGTGTGTGTGTGTGTGTGTGTCTGTCTGTCTGTCTGTCTGTCTGTGTGTACATGCATATATTTCCTTTCCTTGAATTTTAGTGGTCTGGGATTATTTAGTCCCTCTGTTTTGATAGTTGTGATGGAGTTTTCCTTCTATCACCCTCTGTAGGACTGGATTTATAGATAAATATTGTTAAAATTTGGTTTTATCATAGAATGTCTTATTTTCTCTATCCATGTTGATTGAGAGTTTTGCTGGGTATAGTAGTCTGATTGGCATCTGTGGTCTCAGAGACTGCAGTACTTCTTTTCTGGCTTTTAGGGTCTTCTTTGAGAAAGCAAATGTAATCCTAATAGATATGCCTCTGTTTGTTACTTGGCCTTTTCTTTTGCTCTGTATGTTTAGTATTTTGATGATTATGTGGTCAGAGGACTCTTTTCAGGCCCAATCTATTTGGTGTTCTGTATGTTTCTTGTACCTTTATAGGCATTTCTTTCTTTAGGTTAGAATTTTTTTCTTCTATGATTTTGTTGAAAATATTTTCTGGGCCTTTGAGCTGGGTTTCCTCCCCTTCCTCTAGTCTCATTATCCTTAAATTTGCCCTTTTCATAATATCCCAGATTTTATGGATGTTTTGTGTCAGTAAATTTTCAGATTTAACATTTTCTTTGACTGATGTAGCTATCTATTTCTTCTATTATATCTTTAACGCCTGAGATTCTCTCTTCTGTCTCTCATATTCTCTTGGTGAAGCTTGCCCTGTAGTTCCTGTTTGAATTCTAACTTTTTATTTCTGGAATTCCCCCAGTTTTGTTTTCTTTATTCCCATTTTCAGGCCTTGAACAATTTTATGTATTTTCTTTAACTGTTTTTTTCTTGGTTTTCTTTAAGGGACTTACTCATTTACTCTTTAAGGATTGCTATCTTCTTCATATAGTTGATTTTAAGGTCATTTTTGGGGGAGGCATCAGTTATGTTGCAATGCTCAGTACCTGCTGTAGTAGGGTTGCTGGGCTTCAGTTGAGACATTGTCCTGGCTGTTGTTGATTGTGTTTTTATACTGAAACCTAGGTATCTGGGATCGAGATGACTATAGGTCTTGATGATGAATGATGATATCTGTTGTTATCTCTGCTGGATGAGTGTCTTTCCTTGGTTTCTACTTCTTCCCTGGATTTTAGGAGAGTGTAGTAATTGTGTACTGCCTGGTAGGAAATTTCTCTCCGTCTGTTTCCCTGGCCTACTCAGGTGATGTGTTCCCAGTGTATGCCTGCTGGCGTTGGAGGCTGGGATAATGGAATGAATTGGGGGAAATAGGGCTGGAGGAGAAGATCTTTGTGATCTGTTTGGGGTAGGGTCAGAGAAGAAAGGGAGACTGCAGCAGACTTTCTGCTATAGAGCTGGGGATAAGCCTGGGATGGGGCGGGGATTGGATCAGGAAGAGCAGAAGAGGTGTGCATCCACTGTCAACCTACTTGTTTCCCTGGCAGGAGTGGCCTTGGGGTACCAGGGGTTGTCTGCTGGGGTTTGGGACTTGGACAAAGGAACAAGTAGGGGTAAGGAGGATCTGTGGGATCCACATGGGAGGAAGGCTGCAGAGCTGGGTATAAGACTGGGGGATTCGGTCTGGGGGAGACAGAGAATTGAGACATCTTTTTAAAGCAGCTGATAATATAGCTACATTTTAACAGAGAAATCTGAACCATAGGTAAAAACTACAGTTGGATCTACAAAAAGTGTGTAGTCTTTAAGTTCTACAAATTAAGGTACTTTAATTTACAAAATAATTGGGGAAACAGACTAGAAAAATATCCCAACATCTGAGTTGTCTGTGCAACAGAATTTGAGCCCATGAGTGCTCAGACCATGAGTTAGAATGACAACTGATGTGATTTCCCTAAAGGATGGCTGTTCCGTAACATAAATGTCATTGCTTTCAAATGTCATCTCAGTGTTAAAATTTAACCTAGTCAATTAGTAAATGGTGTTGAGGATCTAGAGCAGCAGTTCTCACCCTTCCTAATGCTGTGACCCTTTACTACAGCTCCTCGTGCTGTGGTGACCCCCACCGTAACATTATTCTTGTTGCTCCTTCATAACTGTCATTTTGCTACTGTTATGAATCACAAAGTAAATATGCATGTTTTCTGATTGTCTTAGGTGACCCACGTGAAAGAGTAGTTCAACTTTACTATAGCCCGAGATCCGAAGGTTGAGAGCCAGTGATCTGGAGGGAATGAGGAGTCTCCTAGTCTGGAGCCCTCTTCTTCCTTTCCTCCTTCTCTTTTCTTCCCTTCCCTCCTTTCTTCCTTTCTTTTTTTGTCTTTTTTTTTTTTGTCTTGTTTTTTGAGACAGGGTTTCTCTGCCTAGCCCTGCCTGTCTTGGAACTTATTCTGTAGATCAGACTGACCTCAAACTCAGAGATCTGCCTCTGCTTCCCCAGTGCTGGGATTAAAGGCGTGTGCCACCACCTCTAGGCTTCTGCAGCGTTCTTTCTATAAATGAGGAGTGGAGCCCATAGAGAGTCCTGAGTTTATGTGGTTATGTGAGGGCAGTCTGGCAAGGCCACCAAGTCTTCTCATGTAGCTAGTGTCTCTGCATGTGGGCATATAAGCCTTACCCATCTGATCTCTGGGAAATTAATCAAATTCATATTATCCCAAAGACGAAGGGTATGGTGAGTCTTTCAGAGCCTGACATTTCTCCCCTTGTAGGTTTCTGACTTGGGAACAAATGACAGTGCACTTGAGGCACCCATGGGAAGATTTGAGTGATGGGAGCACCCCAAGAGGCAAGCTTTCTCTCCAGTACCATTTACCATATTACCCTCCCTGTAGCCAGCAAGTTTATTTAGATATACAGACACAGCTTCAATTACCCTTTCCACATCAATGAACCCAGTTATCTGAAGTGTATAACTCAGTGGACATTAGTGCATTACAAAGTTGTGTATCCATCATTATTATTAACACTACTCTGTCTAATTTCAGAACATTCTTCACTTCAGATTTTAATGACCTGTTAGCAACTACTTCCTATTTATCACTTCTATTCCCAGGCCTTTCAACTATGAATTTATGTTCAGTCTCTCTGAATTTGTTTTTCTGCATATTTTATATAATCATATGATCCATATAAATATAATCATATGATCTTTGGCTGTTTATGATTTTCTTTATTTTGGGGGGTGGGTGGGTCAAGACAAAGTTTCTTTGTGTAGCCTCAGATGCAACTGATCTGACCTCAAACTCAGCAGTGTTGAGATTAGAAACATGCGTCACCACTATCTGGCTGTGATTTAAAAAAAAAACTTAGCATGTTTTTAAGGTTCTTAGATCCTATTGTAACAAATATTAAATTAATGTATTACTTGGAATTATGAAAATATTTAAAACAAAAATTTAATTTAAAATTTCCTGTATTTGTTATTTAGCTCCAGAAATTATCAAACACCAAAAGTATACATTTAGTCCTGATTGGTGGGGACTTGGATGTCTGATATATGAAATGATTGCTGGACATTCTCCATTCAGAAAATATAAAGAAAAAGTCAACCGGGAGGAATTAGAAAGAAGAGTGAAGAATGAAACTGAGGAGTACTCTGAGAGGTTTTCAGAGGATGCCAAGTCCATCTGCAGCATGGTGGGTCAGGCTCCACGGAGGCAGGGAGACGTTTAACTCACTTCCTCTCTTTTGATGATTGAGAAGGCAGTAGTCAAGTAGGAAGGCAGTCTTCAGAAGCAGGATAGTCACCCCTTCCCAACTTAAAAGTCCTGGTTCAACACCAAGACCAGGCTGAGGTGAACTCAGCTAGGCCCCTCAGTAACCTACCTCCTTCCTGGTTCTCTTGTCTGGAATTTCATCTTAGGCAGACAATGAGAGTCCATCGAAGTTCCCAGCCCAAACTTGGAAAATGACTGGATAATTACGGCAAAGCCCAAGGAAAATTCATGACTCCCCCTTTTGTAGAGCTACTATTGAAAGGAAGAATGGTGCCAAATTATTCTGTTTTCAAAAAACAGCTGCTGAGTCTGGTTCATTGACTCATTTTATGTGAAATTAAATATAAAATGCTCAATTCTATTATATTTTGAAATGGGAAGAGTGCCTCTGCTAAATTCTTTTTCTTTAAATCATCGCTGACACTCTAACTTCAAGGGCAGCATGGGCCAGACTGACACCTACCTTACATATTTGATTATTGTATTAGGACCTTCATCATCCATGAGACATGATGATGCCAGAGAGCAAGTCCTAATGTAATCATAGAACCAGCCAGTAGCAATTGGGTGCCATCTACCCTTAGGGCTGGTTTTTTTTCACCAACTGCTAGCTGTCTACACACTAAAGTTTCTTTATCATTTGCTTACCTTAAAATGGTGACTATAAACATTTTTTTCTTTTGCTGTCCTTTGATGAATTTTTAAAAATTTTCTTTCAATAAGGGTTTATTGAATCAGTTAACTCAATTAAGAAACCCCTCACAAGAATGCCCTTTTTCTCCTACTGGATTGCCTCATGCAGCCTTGATAGGAAAGTGTATGCCTGGTCTTATTAGTCTTATTATAATTTGTTATACTATATTTGTCTGATAACCCTGGAAGGCCTGCTCTCTTTTTTGGGTGGGGGTATAATGTATGAGAGTTAAAAAATTTAAAAAAAATGGCCACAAGTCTCAAGACTCCCTTTCCAAGTGATTCTAGATTGTGTCCATTTAACAGCTACAATCAACAATCATGCTCAGTAACTACTGTGAAGAGAAACAACTGGCTCTTTTGTTGTTGTTGTTGTTGGATAATTTATTTACAATTCTGAGGTGATCCCCTTTCCCCATTCCCACCCCCCAACCCAGGAACCCCCATCCCATCCCCCCTCCTCCTGCTTCTATAAGGATGTGCCCCTACCCACCTGCCCACTCCCACCTCCCCACCCACAAATGCCCCCACACTGAAGCATCCAGCTTTCAAGGGACCAAGGACTTCCACTCCTACTTATGCCCAACAAGGCCATCCTTCCCTACATATACATCTGGAGCCTGGGGTCTCTCCCTATGTGCTCCCAGACAGGTGGTTTAGATCCTGGGGGCTCTGGTTGGTTGGTATTGTTGTTCTCCCCATGGGGCCGCAAACCCTTTCAGCTCCTTCAGTCTTCTAACTCCTCCATTGAGAAACCCATGATCAGTTCAATGGCTAGCTGTGAGCATCTGCCTCTGGATATGTCAGACTCTGGCAGACCTCTAAGGAGACAGCTATATCAGGCTTCTGTCAGCATGCACTTCCAGACATCCACATCAGCATCTACCTTTGGTAACTGCACATGGGATGGATACCCAGGTGGAACAGTCTCCAGACAACCCCTCCTTCAGTTTCTGTCCCACCCTTTGTCTCCATATTTGCTCCCATGAATAATTTAACAACTGGCTCTTAAACAATGGGTTAAGTTTCCCCACAAATGGATTGTAGGAAAGTATCTCAGGATATACAGTGGCTATTAACTTGGATATATGTCCTTTCTGCCACTCCTACTACTTTGGTTGTTGGGGATTTTTGTTTTGTTTCTTTTTGTTTGTTTTGTTTTCTTGGCGTTCCTTTTCTTTTTTCTTTTTTCTTTTTTTTCTTTTTTTTTCTTTTTTTTTCAAGACAGGGTTTCTCTGTATAGTTCTGGCACTCACTCTGTAGACCAGGCTGGCCTTGAACTCAGAAATCCAACTGCCTCTGCCTCCCAAGTGCTGGAATTAAAGGCATGCGCCACCACTGCCTGTCAGTGTTTTTGGCTTTTCAAGATAGTGTTTCTCTGTGTGGCCCTGACTGTCCTGGAACTCACTCTGAAGACCAGGCTGACTTTGAACTCACAGAGATCTGCTTGCCTCTGCCTCCCAAGTGCTGAGATTAAAGGTGCAGTCACCACCTGGGTCATTAAAGAAGCTAGTTTTGATTACATTTTTATCCTAATAGCTTCAGTTGATTGTTTCTCTCTCGTGTAGTTACTCATCAAGGATCCAAGTAAGCGGCTGGGCTGCCAGAGTGACGGAGCCTCTGCTGTAAAGCAGCACCCAGTGTTCAAGGATATTAACTTCAGCAGGCTGGAAGCAAATATGTTAGACCCACCTTTCATTCCTGATGTAAGTATGTCACCCAGAGTAGCTAGGTCTCAGGAACACCAATTCCCATAACAGTCTTTTGTTAAAACACACTTGATACAGATGGGTTCTGCTCTATGAAATCTGAGATCTGTTATTTCTGCTTCTCTTCTTCTTTCTTTCCTTCTTCTCTCCCTTCCTCCTCTTCCCTTCTTCCTTCCTTTCCCTTCTTCTTCCCTCCTCTTTCCTCCTCCTTTCTCTTCCCTTCTTCTCCCTCCTTTTCTTTTTCCTTCTTTTCCCTCTCTCTGTTTTCTTCCCTTGCTCCTCCTCCTCCATCTACCACTTCCATATCTTCAGGCAGACCCATAGTACCTCTCTGACTTCCAGGCCTGGTGTGTGCAGTCTATCACTGCTAGAGTAGCCAAACTCCCTGTCTTTCTCCCCATTCTCAGTGCCATTTCAGACCTCCTTGGCATGCCCTTTAAGGGCCTCTGTGTGCCAGTGTTCCTGCTATGACCTCAGTGCGGAGTTTACCTTCATCCATGTGCTCACTCCTTATACTGGACTGTGCTTTAGTCTGGCATGTGCAGCCCTTTCTACTTATCACTGGATATTGAGACTGGAGCTGCCAATATCTCTGCTTCATCATGAATATGCTATTGGGATAAAAATATCATGCCTCCAAAAGCATAGGGCCTGGCACTTGTCTGTGCTTGGTACATAATATAGGACATAATAAGTATATTAATAAATATAACATATAGTAAGTGAAGTACTGATGAAAAGATGATTAAGTGAAGATAACCTGGACTCTACCCTTAGTAGTCTGCTACAGACACATTCTAAAAATGGGAAGATAAGGTAAGTTTTCATTGTTGGATGGAATTAAGATAGATCTACAGTTAATATATTTTTATTATGACTTCTTCAGACTTGATATGCTTGCTTAATATCCATAATATTTGTTACAGTGGTAACTACTTCCTTGGAACTAATTTCTACTTGGCTTATTCAGGGCATGTGCACTATCTCCAGCATAGCTCTAGACTGAAGGCAAAGGGGGAGAAGGTAGATCAGTAAGAGAGGGACACAGGAAGACAAACTGACTGGCATTCTGGGAAAGCATTGCTGACAGTGAGGCATGTATAACGTGGGCTTCATATGGCTGTCAGGTCTGGAGATGGGGGTGCTTTCGTGAAATGCAGGGAAAACAGGTCAAGGTGGTTTCTTAGGAGGGAGGGGGAACACACTGGACAGGGGCCATCCTAGACTGTCTATGTCCTTGTCTTAAACAAATCACCCCATTTGGAGGCAGTTTAACAAACCCTGGACACTTTGTTCCTAAGAACAGTGCCAAGGTAGAGGCTGCAAGCCTGGGCCCTAATCCTAGTGGAGAAATTGCTAGCCAGAATGTTGCTTTCAATTTTAATCCAAATGCTAAGGAGATACTTTGCAGGTAGGACGTTGTCTTAGTCAGGGTTTCTATTCCTGCACAAGCATCATGACCAAGAAGCAAGTTGGTAAGGAAAGGGTTTATTCAGCTTACACTTCCACACTTCTGTTCATCACCAACTCAAGCAGGCCAGGAAGCAGGAACTGATGCAGAGGCCATGGAGGGATGTTACTTACTGGCTTGCTTCCCCTGCCTTGCTCAGCTTGCTTTCTTATAGAACCCACGACTACCAGCCCAGGGATGGCACCACCCACAATGGGCCCTTTACTCCTGATCACTAATCGAGAAAATGCCTTACAGCTGGATCTCATGGAGGCACTTCCTCAAGGGAGGCTCCTTTCTCTGTGATAACTCCAGCCTGTGTCAAGTTGACACGCAAAACCAGCCAGTACAGATGCTCAGTGCCAGATGCAAGGTAAAAACTATCATTAGGGGATCCCACAGCCAGTGGTCTCCATGTCTGTTCACAGCTCTCTGAGTCTCCCACAGAAGTAACCACACCATCCTTCTATAGCTTTAGTCTTTGCAATCTATTTTTTTCTGCAGAAAAGGAAAGAGATCGTTATGAGGGGTGTATGAGCACCTGTATATGGAGGGCTGGAACAAAGACACAACAGGATCTGTGACACTAAAAGTTCCCCGAGAGGGCTGGAGAGATTAGCAGTTAAGAGCATTCATTGTCTGCTCTTCCAGATGTCCTGGGTTCAATTTCCAGCAACCACATGGTGGCTCAAAACTATATGATGCCCGCTTCTTATGTGAAGGGAGCAACAGTATACTCACATACATAAAATAAATAAATATTTTTCTTAAAAAAAGTTCCTTGAGAAAAGTGGTACAGGAACTGCTGTGTCACAGAATATGCATGGTGTAAATTAGAAAATTACTTTGAAAAGAGGGCCCCTGTAGCTGCCTGTGGTCATGGACAAACTGGGTCCACCTGAAAGGGGGCTGGAAATGAAAAAGGATGGAGAAGTGAGAGAAGCATGAAGCCAAGACAAAGTTTTCTGATCAAGGCTCAAAGTTTAATGTTTAGCTCTTGTAATATATAGGGAAAGCCCCACAGAACCCATCCTTTGTTTCAGCTGCAAGGCAGGCTCAGCGGGCAGTCTCTTCTTCAAAGTTCTTACTGGAAGTTGCAAGTGTAAACAAAGCAGCAGGATTCACCTAGGTGTTAAGGTCCTGTGTGGCAGACAAGGTCTGTTCAGACTGCTCAAGGCTGGGGAGGGCACAGGCCTTGGCAATGAAGAAGCGGGGAGGAGTATGTGTGGACTTGTTCTTTTAAACTAAGGGAGCTCAGAGTTGCTTTAGGACTGGGGATGTAGTTAAGTGGTAGGGTGCTTGCCCAACATATGCAGGTCCTATATCTAATCCTCAGCATCTGAAAATTAAAAACAAAACAGCCTTATAAGGTAGATATTGTACTGGGGATGGTCAGGGCAGCCAGATTGTGAGTTCAAGAACAGCCTAGGCTGCCTATCCCTGTCTCACAATCCCAGAGGAAAAACATAACCAAACAACAAAACAAGAAAAGAAGTATTCAAGATGTCTTACAGGCTGATGCCTCTCTTTGTTCTTGATGCCCAGCCTCAGGCCATTTATTGTAAGGATATCTTGGATATTGGGCAGTTCTCTGTGGTGAAAGGAGTCAGCCTGGACACCAGTGATGAGACCTTCTACAGCCAATTTGCGACAGGGTGTGTCACCATCCCCTGGCAGAATGAGGTACTACTCTTTCTAGCAGAGTAGGTTTATGCTAGTTTTAACAATGGCATGTGTGTGTGTGTGTGTGTGTGTGTGTGTGTGTGTGTGTGTGTACCTGCAAAGTAAATTTATGCAAAGGACTTGACCAGAGGACTAGATCATGGGTAAACCAAGACCATGCCAGAAGCATGGCAGCTACTCTGGTCCTAGTTACAGGAGGTGAGCAAAAGGCAATCTTGGGAATTGCCTGCCAACCTGGAGTCCTGCTCCATAAGCAGGGCTAGCTAGTAGCTTGGCTCCAGTGGAATTAGCTTTTTGGGAGGTACACTTCAAGAAAGAGGAACAAGAGGCCACTTTATTTAATCTGAGAGGTCAGAAACCAGGAGTCTAGGAACACGGAACCAGAGAAAGTCTGGGAACTATAAGGTGCACCACATTGAGGTCAGGTACTGGGTGATAGTGATAACACTAGGAGAATACAGAACCTCTCATGGTGTCTCCAAAGATGCTTTTTACTGTCTTCTATGGATACAGATGATTGAATCTGGATGTTTCAAGGACATCAATGAATATGAAGATGCAGATTTGCCATCACTTGAAAAACACAAGATATGTTCCTCCATTCTCAGACCAAGGAGAAACTTCTTCCATAGACTCTTCAGAAGAGCGGTAAAAAATCTTTTGCAAAAGTAAACTGTTGTGGCTGGGGCAGTTGCTTAGGGTAGAACATTTGCATAGTAGAAACAATGGCTTGGGTTCTGAGAATCAGAACTGACTCTTAGCACATGTGTGCACATGTGTATTTACACTCTCCCTCCCAATATGTATCAAAAGGAAAATATTTTCTAAAGAAAACGGCACTGTGGGGAGGGGTGTTCAAGACAGGGTTTCTCTGAGTAGCCCTGGCTATCCTTGAAATCATTTTATAGACCAGACTGGCCTTGAGTTCAGAGATCCACCTGCCTCTGCCTCCTGAAAGCTGGGATTAAAGGTAAAAGAATTACTCTTGAGTTTGAGGGCAGCTCACTACATAGTGAGTCCTTGTCAGAAGAGAAGAAAGAAGAGAAGAAGAAGAAGAAGAAAGAGGAGAAGGAAACAGACCTACAGAGACAGAAGTATGGACACACCACACACACACACACACACACACACACACACACACACACACACACACGTTTCATATAGTTTTAAAGCAATATGATTCTATTTAAAGCTTACCCAGAAGAGTCTTCACAGTGCTCCTTGCTGTTGGTGATGATCTGCAAAGCAATGACTCTTAGCACTGAAGCTGCTCCTATTTTGGTGACAAAGAATTTTGACCATAAAAGCATAAAGCATCTGATAAAACTCCCACAAACAGTGCATGTTTAGTCCCCTGTGTTCTGATTCCAACTACTGCTCTCTCATGTCCAAGTACACAGAAAAGCAGGTTCCCTTCTAAAAGTGGAAATTGTTTAAGGAGACTTTCTATAGTAACATTACTCTTGCTCTATGGCCAGGGAAGGCCCTGTCCTCCTTTCTTCCTACCTCAGCCTCCTGAGTGCCACACACCTGATAATGTTAGAAAATAACTTCACTAAGCAAAAGGTCCTGTGAGTGGATTGTTTTACTTTTTAACCTTTCAAATATTTTTTCCTTTTTCTTTTTTTTCTTATACTATCATTTCTTGAGGAATTTAGTAAGATTTTTCAATAGCATGCTAATTTGTATTTTTTTCAATACAGAAAAACAAGACTTCATTGGGTAAAAATATCCCAAAGTGATTGTTTTGAACACATTTTCTCTCTTAACTAAGGGATAGCTAAATGAACTGACCAAAAGAGTCTAATTTCTGCATATAGTTAAGTCCTATTGGGTGTTCCTCCTTACTCAGATCCTATAATGCTATCCACTGAAGACCTTGCCACTGGTAGAATAGAGTTGTATAGTATGGAGCACCTTCTTACCATGGTGCTTGCTGGGGAAGGAGCCAGTGAGTCTCATTTTTCTTCTGCATTCAACTATTGAATTTGAGTTAGCATGCAACAGTAATGAAGCAGCAAAACTCATCTGGAGGCAATACTCTGTATATAAATTAAGCATATACCTTTAAATGTTATTTTTAACAGTACAGGGATTGAAGTTAGGACCATTTATATACCTGATAAGTACTCTAACAATGAGCTACATGCCCACACTCCCCACCTTTTATTTTTAAAGTGTTTTTGAAATGGGTTCACTAAGTTGTCTGTCTTAAATTTGAGATCTTCTTGGCTCAGTTTCCTGAGTAGCTGGGAATACACTTAGAATTCCATTTCTTGAAGTTAAGAAGAAAAATATAAAGTTTTTGTTGACCTTACAATTAGTATCCTCCTAGTGTTCAGAACATTATATCATTTGTTCCTAGGTATCTTTGCAAATTGGTTCCAAGAAGCCAAAGTGTAAAAGTGTTCAAGTCTCTTTTATAAATGGGCAGTGTTTACATACAAGCCACGGAACTTCTGATTACTTTAAATCACCTCTAGATTACATAAATACATAATACAATATACAAATAGTTATTGTACCATGCTTTTAAACTTATTCAACTTATTGTCATTTGACTTAATTTTTGACTATTTTTGATTCAGGGTTGGTTGAATCCATGCTTATAGAACTCATGGCTAGCAAAGCCATCTTGGCATTAGAGACATAGCTGAGGCTGGCCATTGTGCTGTTTGTTGCAGGGCTGCCTGAACATTGCCCACAGTGAGGAGAGGGAGCCAACAGAACACTGACCATTCACTGTGCAGACCACAAAGCAAGACCCTGATGTTAAGAAGGAATCTAGCACATACTCAGTGTCTTGTCCTTTCCATAAATTGTAATAAACTGCCTGTAACACTGTTTATAATGTGCTTTCATGTATTTTTTACATTAATATTTGTATTGTCCTTTTACTGAAGCTGGATTAAAGAAGAACCCTGAGAATACCACTGTGTGCCCTGAAAATCCCAAGTGTGGATGTCTTGTGCATTTGAGCAGTTTTCAAAGTCTTTTCTCTCTGTGTGTGTGTGTGTGTGTGTGTGTGTGTGTGTGCCTGTCTATCTATCTATCTATCTATCTATCTATCTATCTATCTATCTATCTATCTATATCTGTCCCAATACTTTTCAGAACCAGGTTGAGTTTTCCTTCAACTTTGCTTAGGTTCTTGCCGAACTATGAGTGCTGTTTTTATAAATATTCCTTTTTTTCCCAATCTCTCCTCCCCTACCTGCTTTGGTACTCACTTAATCCTGGAGGTCTGGGGTCGATTTTAGGCCCAACATGTAGTTAAATGTTACCTGAAGCCTGACACCATTTTCCTGGGACTATGCTATATCATATGCAAAGTGAGAAAGTTTTCCCTATAGTCCATTGATATCTCTTATGCTCTGACTCAAATCCAGTTCCAGCCAGTTCTCTGCTTCCTCATCTACTTGGACTGTTTCTTACTGCGTTGAATGCAGTTCTTTAAGCCTCTGTTATATTGTCAAATGGAATACGTTTCCATTTCACCCCTGCTATTTGCATGATGAGCACTACATCTTGGTTCTTAACATACATCATAAGGGCCAAGTGGAGTTGTAAAGTCGTGCTCTGAAACATGAAAGAACATTTCTAATCTTGATCTTCTTTTTTTTTTTTTAAAGATTTATTTATTATATGTAAGTACACTGTAGCTGTCTTCAGACACCCATATGAGGTCATCAGATCTCATTGTAGATGGTTGTGAGCCACCATGAGGTTGCTGGGATTTGAACTCATGACCTCTAGAAGAGCAGTCAGTGCTCTTAACCGCTGAGCCATCTCTCCAGCCCTAATCTTGATCTTCTAATATAGAACTAACTGGCCTCAAGAAAGAATATAGCTTGCCTCCTGGGAGGAATGTTATACTTCATGTAGACTTCATTAATGAATATGGCACTAGTACTGGCCAGGGGGAAGGGCTATTCCCTGGAACTGTTAATGCTTTTGTGATACTTGTGAACCAATTACATAAGTGACTATGAAGTATGGTGATGCTGTAGTGAGGAGGGCTTCATTTCTGTATTATCACTTTACTGGGATGCAGACCAGGGGATTTTAGTCAGGGCTCTCTAAAAGAACAGAACTGATTGATAGAATATGTTATAAAGTTGGTAGTTCGGATTAGTTTGCACAGTATGGGCTGAGAACCTGATAGCTGTTCAGTCCTTGAGTCTGGAAGCCTTAGCAGTCTCAATTTGGAACTGAAGGCTTGAAGGACTCCTGGAGAGTTGCTGATTTTCAGTCTGTGTTAGAAGGCTGAAGAAGCTGGGTTATAATGTCCATGAAGCATGACAGCAATAAGGGCAAATGTAGCCTTTGAAAAGCAGCCCTGCTTTCCTTCTGACTTCTTTATATCTAGCCTGCCTCCAGAAGATGCTGCCTACCCTAAGGGAGGGTCTCTAGTCCTCAGTTAATCCTTTCAGGAAATACTCTCATGGAGGTCAGAAGACAGTTTACAGGAGTTGATTTTTTTTCTTCTATCATATAGGTTCCAGGGATTGAACTCACTTCATTAGGTTTGACGTCAAGTATCTTTACCTGATGACCATCTCTCTCCAACCTTTAAGTTGCTTATGTCAGGACTATTTTGTCTCAACAACAATAAAAGAAAAGAAGATATAAAGACTCCATTGCAACGTCAGCTTCACCTTTACAACTTTATGTGGTGGAAGCCTAGGATCTGTTTATAAGGACTTCAAACTTGCCACACAATGTTTAGCCCTATTGATACTTAAGACTCTATGACCTCCCTAATCCCATCTCTTTCATTCCTATAACATCTATACCATGCGTATAACACTTCCAGAATTCTGCTGCTAGTTTGGGATGGAGCCTGATCCCCTAGGAGCACAGTTGTATTGGTGCCTTTGGTGATCTTGGGAAGCACTTCCCTAAGCACTAGTAGGCAATTCCTTCAGTAGCATTCTCATTTTAGATTCATTCCCTTCTGGTAAATGAGTGTGTATTTCCACAAGATGGAAACGTTAGTGGATTGAGAGTATTATCTTTAAGATAGCTTTTCTTTTGTTTCAGTGCAGAATGCCAGGATTCTTGATCTGTACTCTCCTTGGCAAACTTCACAGTGATCTTTCTGCTCTGGTCTCCCTTCTTCTCCCTCCACCCTCTCTCCTTCTCTCCCCATCTCTGACTGTAGACTTGGATAAGAACAGTAAGCAGTAACCATGACACAACCTGAATGAAATCCTGCCTTGATATTTCCACCAAAAAAATTAATTCATTATATTCAAATTCAGTCTCATTCAAGTTCTTTGGACATGCACTGAATGGAGTTAGGTTGTTTGCTAGATTATCACATGCTACTAGCTAGTACCTGATCAAGTTCTCGTTCCCCTCTGAACCTTCATGAACCAGGTCACTGACTATCTACATTTCTGTCAGTATCCTTTTTATATGTATCTCCCTTGATTGCTCTTGACCTTATCTTTTGAGGTAAGGCCTTTAAACTCACTGAATCTGGTACTCACCAATTGCCTAGACTTGTTGGCTATGAGCTATAGGAGTCCACCTGTCTCTATCCATTCCAGCTTTGGGATTACAGAAGCATGCAACTATACCTGGCTTTTTAAAAAGTTTTTTTTAAATGTATGTTTATGAGTGTTTTGCCTGCATGTATGTATATGCACCATATTTGCGCCAGGTGATAGAGGGCCTTGGTTATAAAAAAAGAATTTCTATGAGGCTATAGCTGGCCTTGCTCAGAGGATTATCAGTGAACTCTACAAAGGATTGAGTAGACAATTCCAGAAAGGAGAGACTACAGACTTGCATGTAACATTATTCCTCATCCCCATGCCTCTATATAAACTCCAAGTATTCCCTCCTTGAAGACCCCCTTTTCCTACAGAAATAAAGTCTCCTTTGATGAAGTCAGATTCTGGTCTCTTTCTGCCTTTGTCTCTTTATTTTGCACTCTGAAATCTAACATGTGATCACTCTGTCCTCTCAGAAGTCAGAATGAGGAATTGGATTTCCTGTAACTAGATAATTGTGCACTACTGTGTGGGTGCTGTGAGTCATACCAGGTTCTCTGCAAAAGCAATACAAGCTCATAACTGCTCAACCATCTCTCTGGATTCCAAAACCTAACTTCTTAAAGTGAGTGCTGGGAATCTGACTGAGATCCTTGTTCTTATGATATTTTTTCATACTCCTTATGAATCATTTCCTACTCCCTCTCTCAATAGTCATGTCTTCTAGGCTTCCACCAGAAAGACCCAGTACACTTGGCAGATTCCACTTTTTTTTTTCATAAGTTCCAAACTCTCCCACTTTTCCCTCATAAACAAGTTCCAGAAGCCCAAGAAGCATGCAGTCATCTTCATCACTGCAACACCTCCACTCTTAGTACCTGTGATCTGTAGTAGTACTTACATCATTGTTATATCAAAATAGTTAACAAAAGCAACTTAAGGTTGTCCAGTCTTACCTTCCCCTTGCATTAGGAGAGAATATCTAAAAGGTCAGTTTGGAGCTCGTGAGTGGGCTCTTGGCCTAAAGGGAGTCTAGTGTGTTTACAAGTGCAGTACTGCCTTAGCATTCTTTATTTAGTACCTTAACCTAACTCTGAGTCATATCAGAAGAGAAGGATTTTTTGACTTGCAGCTTCAAAGGATAGAGTTCACCATGGCAGGTCAGGAAGCAGCTGCAGCTACTGTCAGAAAGGAATGATGAGATTATGGTGCTCAGCTGCCCATATTTAAGCGGGCCTTTCCTCTTCAGTTAGTTTAACTTAGTCCCTTACAGACATATCCAGAGGTTAGTTTCCCTGACGATTCTAAATGCTGTTAAGTCAACAATGGTGATTAACCATCACAGTGACTGAGCATTATTTCTGGTGTAACATATTTATAATGGATGCTAATGGAACATAAAACTAGAATTCACTGCATTCCTGCACTGGCTGCACATGCAGAATATTTCATTGGTACCACTGGACACCAAGGCAGGGTACATTTATAAGGACTTCCAGGGATTCTAGAAATTGAAATGGCATGGTGGCTCCAGTTTTTTTTGGTCTTTGTTTTTCTCAAAAAAAAGCACCACTTAGAGGACAAAAGGGCAAGAAAGGGGTAAGGTAACCTTTGACTTACAGGTGAAGGGAAGTGTTTTTCAGAAACTATCAGATACAGCTCTTTGCTGAAAGACCAGGTACTTCAGAACTATGCTTGTTTATATGGATAGAAGTGAATGGTTTTGAACCAGGAAAACCAAAGAGCCACCCATGAAACTAGAAAGGCAAACTGCTTTTTTTCTAATGCCATGTAACTCTCAATACCTCACTTGTGATTCTAGATGTGTAAGATTTTTCCCATGCCAGCCAGTTCTCTAATATCAGCTTGGTATTCTGTACTTCAGTTCAATCCTGACATGATTCAGATTTAGGGTAAGGTATTCAATAAAGAACACTGAGGTGATACCCAAGTTGGAATGAACATGGGGAACACTAGGCTCTCTTTAGATCCAAGGGCCACTCTCTGAACCCCACACAGGCCTTTCCAGATCTCTCACAGTGTAAGGAGAAGGTAAGGCTGGACAGATAACAACAGCTGGGATTGTTCTTCAAAGAATCCCCTGTGAAGCCTTCCCTAGCTGCTTCCAGGGCATCTCATCCACATCTTTGTTACTAAGACCCAAACACATCCAGAGGCTGTCTATCAAGCAGGTGTTTGCAAGGAGGAATATAAGAGATTTGGCAGTAGGTTGGGGTATCTTTTTGTGGCTGTGTAGGGTCCCTTGTAGTTCAGGTGAGCTGGAGATAAAGAGGGTTCTATGTTAAACGGGTCATAAATTCTTTTCATACCACCAAATATTGATACTGATCTCTTGATGGGGAGGGGTTAAAGAATTCTTAGTTCTTACCTTGTCCTTCAGATCATTATGAAAAATCTAGGTAGGAAAA